TTGATAGATAGATAGATAGATAGATAGATAGATAGATAGATAGATAGATAGATAGATAGATAGATAGATAGATAGATAGATAGATAGATAGATGGATAGATAGATAGATAGATAGATAGCATTTGGCATTTGTACAGCGCAAATTCCCGCTAAGCGACAAGTTCTATGCGCTTTACAATCTATATTATTACCCCAGCATACCTAATAGCATTCTGAAACAATATCAACTTCCTGGGGAGCATACAGTGCAAGCTTCCATTTTACAGGCGTTAAGACGCTAACCGACCGATACAATCTGTTGCATTTTCTCACCTGGTCAGTACTGCGACCCGGGTGTAGGACAGGTCCAACGTCTGCACGTGTCCGGCACACTTCTGGAAGTCGACACGAGTCACGACCAGGCCTCGGTTGTGTGACAGATTGAGGAACCGGAGGTTGACCATCTGCCTGTGACGTCATCATCACGACATTTGCTTGTTAGTACAGTACACATTCTGTCTGTGACGTCATCATAACGACAAATGTTTGTCAGTACACCTTTTTTCTGTGACGTCATCATGACGACAAGTACGCCTTCTGTGTGTGACGTCATCATAACGACAATTACTTGTTAGTACACAATCTGTGTATGACGTCAACATAATCACAGTTGGTACATCTTCTAACTGTGACGTATATGGGGCAAGTGCTTGTTGCTACACCGTCAGTCTGTGACGTCATCACAACGACAAGTGTTTGTTAGTCCATTTTCTGTATGTGACGTCAGATTGGAAGGACTCTATATGTGTTATCTCGACAACAGAATACATTGATGTGTAGAAGGAGGTGATGTATGTTTCGTTTGTCTCAAACTCACTCGAGACCCGCGTCTGTGGTGTAGCAGTTAGGCGCTCCATCGATGCACGTAGAAGACATGACTTCCATTCGCGTGTATTTTATCGAGTACATGTATCTCAACCTGTCTGTTTAGTTAGTTAGTAGTACAGGGTTTTACGGCGCTCGCAACTGCATAAGGTCATATGAGCGCGCGAACACACAAGTTGTTTGCATTCGCAACAGTTCACTGCACGGTTGGTTATCTTTTAGGACTTTAAAATGCTAAAATATTAAAATTCGATGTAAATATATTTTCAATTTAAAACAACTCTTATAAATAACAATAAAAATTGTAATTAGTACGATTTCACTTTACAATTTGCCATAAACAGGGCTTGAAATAGACCGCGGCACCGCGGCAATTTGCCTTGGTGCCTTTGCAATTTGCGGTAATGCCCTTAAAATCAAAGGGTTAACCGCGGCAACTTTTGCCGTGCCCTTGTTTTGTTTTGTTTTTTTTAAATGTACCACCATGAAAGTAAATCAATATTTGTCCTGTGCTGTCACTTTTGGAAAAAAAAAAAAAAAA